TTGAATCATTTTTATATTTAGATATTAAACTGCAGGTCTTAGATATTAACATTGTTTTGAAGCTTTTCTAAAAGTCTGATGTAACAACAACTTCTGTTTATTAAAAATAAACCAATTAAAAGTCCGTCAGTTAATTATTAATTTTATGATGCAGAATATGTTTGTGTAGTAGCAAATTAATTCGTTTTTGTTTATTAGTAAAAATTGTTTGGTATTTGTCAGGTAGGTATTGTTATTTTTCTATTAATCTTCATAAATTAGCGATTCTGCAACCGCTTAGGTAATAACTAATAAGTCTCTTTAAATAATTATTTGTCATTTTTAATTATTGCATTTTTATTTTGAAACAGTTTGCCATCGAGAATATTTATGCAGGTATTTACTGTTTTGTTTATTGGCAAGCATGTTTTAATTTAAATATATACCTATCGAATGCCTCACAAGGAATTGCACCATTATACACTAGCAATGTTCTACTATTGATTGTAGTAAAACTTTAATTGTGTACTAGGTATATTTTTTATAAAGGGTAGTTCTAAAATGCCTGGACCCAATAAACAACTTCACTGATCGTTGTAGCAATTTTATTTGATCAATTTTAAATATCTAATATTAGCGGCCAGATATTTAGGTGCAGTCTTTCCGAGGGCTCTGCTAAGAGGTGACCTAGCGAGATTGTAATGATGTGCCAAACATCCGAAAAGTGAAAAAAATTTCTCAGTACCTGTCCAGTTTATGGATATATTTGGGTATTAGTCAAAATTATAGCTTCATTGCCTTAATTTTTAAAATAAACATAAAACAAAAACATGTTTCTGTTTTGTACATACATCCGTGACCTTTACTTTACTTCCAATCGGCATTGACAAAAGCAACTTTATTATATATCTATATGCAATAATATGTGTGCGTTTATGAATTTTTGTTCAAATAAATAAAACTTTTACATTGGACACAAATTAATTGGGCTATAAACGTAGTAACCACTTAATATATATCAGTGCGTAAGTTATTAATTTAGTTTCAAAATCAAATGTCAATGCTTTGCGCATTTTTATGTTAATTGCTTTCTATACAATGCCTCTCGATTTGACACCATTTCTTAGCAAGTGCGAACGCTATTTATTATTATTATACACAACAAATACTTAACAGCACATATATGTATACGATTATTATTTATATCCGGTCGGTAAAATAAAATTTGTACTGCTATTTATTTACTTATACAAATTTTTATTGGACTGTTTTACTAATTTTATGTTACTTACCGGAATCAGTTGATAGACATACGTCAATTAATATTGCCACGGTCACTATTGCTCGTAAAGAATAACAACTGTACATGCTAAAAACAATTGCAAAACTAACTGCAAGCTACAATCTGGGTAAAAGCAAGTAAGGTAACTGGATTTCGCTTATTCTTGTCGCGTGGTACCACGGTTGGTTACCACACAAACCTTCGGCTGCTGGTGTCTTCTGGCTGTGCTCTCGTGAAAGAGATGAGATCGCTTGTGACGTAATAAATCAAGGTGATCACCGTTGCTAGCGTGAAGATGAAAACTCATCTATTTCAATTTAATTGCCCGCTTGCTAACTGTTGCAGCAATTCGAAGAGTTGTACAGTTACATTATACTATCCAAGCAGTAGTAACGAAGGTATGATCGTGCCTTACTTGGCACGTGGTCAATCGATATTACTATTAGTGATCGATTGATTTCGTCATGGTACAGTGGATATGATAAATTGTCAGCCTACCATTTCATTGTTCGCTAATTGATTTAATTCTGCAGATCTAGAAAATGATTCATGAAAACATAGAAAGTTACACTTGGAATTGTTTCACAATTTTTTATTAAAAGATTTTAATATATTTTCACTCCTGAGGATGTTCTCGTAATGGGAAATATAACTGCGTATTGTGTTCTCTAATAATTTCAGAATAATAAAGTGTTCGCTTCGTTTCTAGTCACTTAGTTGCAAAAAAAGTAAAAAACTTCTGAAATTATAACAAGTAATTAAAGTAATTTATACTGTAATGTTGAAATAAGTATTTATGTCAATTTTAGAACCATAATAATAAGAATATTTTAGCACATTTTCGTTTGAATAATAATAGCATCCACAAAATGAGTCCAATGTTTTTTGAATTAATAACAACTATTCAATAAACTAAAAATAGTTTTTTAATTAATTACTTTAAGAGCTTTTAATAATTAATAACGACATTGTCTATGGGCGTCTGTCAGTGTGTAGGTAAGGCAAATAATAATAGATTGCTGCGATGTCCTCGGCATATTCATCAACATTGTCCGATTATTTTAATATTTGTTATTCGATGAGAAAAAGTCTCATAATGCTGTCGAAGGTTACTGTTGGTAAATATAATGTAAGATTTAAGTACATGTTTACTTGCCAAAAAATCAATTGTAAGTACGTAAAATCAGTGTAATTGTGTAATTTAAATTAAACTAAAGAAAAGTGCTTTCTTTTTGAAAAGAGAATTATTTATGAACTGATACTGTCCTAATTCGGGCCTTCGTGGAGTGGCGAGTTTCCACATCCAGCACCAGAGATGGAAGAATCTCTGAAGAAGCTTGCCCCTCGTTCTAGCGAAACGTTAGGAAGCGACGGCCTTTTAAACTTTTACCAATTTGTCAGAATTATTTGTTTCCCTTTTCAAAGTTTTGTGCACAGCATTGTGAATGTTATTGTTTCGATTTCAGAATATTAATAAACGTATGCAAAGAAGCCAGTTGGGAGCTTCTACGACCAAGTTAGAACAAGAAATAAGTTCTTATTTTGCTAATTTGCATGCTGCACTGCAAACGATCGAGTATCGATTGAAAGCGGAGGCATCAACGGCTAATAAGAATTGTTCAACTGATTTGATAAACATTAATCAAATGCTATCTCATAATATTATGCAGTTAACGAATCTGGTTGGGATAGCGAATAGCGCTTTGTCGCCTCATAACGCGAAGAAAATTAATATGAGTTTAATAACTGAAAAGTTGGAAAATTCGATCAAACTGCCGTGCCATTTTGTAGAAGAGAAAGTTATCACTGATGAGGAACTTCAGTAAGAGACGCACAAAACACTAATTGTACCTACGCTATACGATTACGGTGTTTTAATTTTACAGATTTCGAGTGCGAGAAAATATTTTAAATAAAATAGAAGATAATTTTACCATAATAAATCCTGAACTTACAAAATACAAACTTATTACCACCGACGAACTTCCTGAAGATTTTTGTGTTGAAGAAGGTTCTGTGTTGAGTTCATCTATTAGTAGTTTCGGAGACAGATCTGACGATGATATTTTATGTAAGTGAAAAATGATAAATAAACTCGTTAATGACTCGCCGCATAATACGTTACCTGCTGCGAGTCCGAAATGCGACTCGCCGCGTACCCTCCGCTTCGAGACTGATCAGGGATTCGCCTTACTGTATGTCTCGTAATTTAGGCTCGCCGCAACATTGCTCTCTGCTCTTTTCGTAATTAAAGAATTTTAAATTTTGCTTCAGTTTCTACGCCAGACAGGAAAAAATCAGATTTATATGCCTCGGAAGTGTATCTGTCTAGTGACAGCGCATCAACAACAGACACTGATAAAACGTATAATAACGAAAGACAACGTCGCTGTGGTGGTAAAATTTTGTTGTGTTGAAGTGTTTTCTAACTTTATCGAAACAATTTGATTACAGATCAAAAGGAATCAGTTATTGTGACCCATATTAATTCTCCTCAATCATTTTTTGTACAGTTCTATCGTAGCTCGAAAGCGATACAGAATATGATTCGAGACATAAATGTGTACGTCAAAAATAACTGCCACTTTTTAATAAAGGAAGTGAAAATAAGTAAGTTACGTGTTTGTGTATACTTTCCAAGTAGTTTTGACCAATTTTTGCTTTAGATAACATATACCTCGTGAGGTATGATCAAAAAGGCAATCAACAGTGGTGTAGAGGTAGAGTTATTAGCAGACTAGACGACGACGTTTATAGTGTGTTCTTTATTGATTACGGAAATGTGGAGCCCATCAAACGGAATTTGTAACATATTTAATATACATTTGATTGCTTGGTTTGAGATTTTAATTGGCTTTTAGAATAATGGGCATCAGCCCGGATTTGGCGCGTGTGGCTCCATTTGCCATCGAGTGTAAACTCTTTAATTTATTTCCAAAAGACGATCTCACCTGGGAGACGAAAGCAGTGACTTTAATGGCACAAATACTGACTGGGTAAACACATATATATATTAAATACAGAAAAAAACATAGCAGGAGTTTCAATTTTCAATAAATATGTCATTTAAGGAATAATAGGAGAGTAATCATGACTACTCAAAATAAAAGCGATGGAATATATGAAATTGATTTGCTATCAATTTCTGTTGATGGTGATACGACGTCGGTAAGGGAAGCCCTTTTGTACATGGGATATGCTATAACATACTGTAAGTCTCCGCCTGTCGAAAGAAAAGTAAGACGAAGCAGACTTTTTGGCCAAGGAATGTTGGTCATTAATGTTCTGTATTATTTTTTTTAGAAGCCCAATCATATGAAGACTAGAATGTTCAGAAAACCGAACACGTTTAAAACTGATGACCAACTGGTCGTGATATTGTCACATGTTACAGAAGAATTGGATGTTTTCGTTCAGTTTGTACGTAAAATTAAGTAATTCTTATAAAGTGCATCGACGCATGTTAGGTTTTAGGCTGATTTTTACCACCAAATAGAAGCCCTTAGTGAAAAACTTGAAAAATATTACGAATCCAAACCGAAATCAAATGTTATTTATGTACCAGAAAAAGGTAAGGTATTATCCTTCGTTTACTTTCTCTAGCGATGTGCCCCTTCCAATGTCTTGGATGCGCGCTGGCAAAATCTTAGGTAGGGAGAAAAAAGCTCATTATACTCTCGACTCTTGTTCATTAAACGTACTTTTTCATACAGTACCCGCCAAAAGTTTGTTCAATCATGAATAGTAGTGCGAGTCGAAAACAAGCGTTAAAGCCTTTAATATGTCTTCAAATATAAATAAACATCTCGTCGATATTTTCAGTAGTAATTGGTACCAATAACAGCACATTTGAGCAATGCAATTGTAGTGGAT